TTGAAGTCCCTACGTGCGCTCCTGCACGAAGGCGAGAAGATCGACTGGGACCTGAGCGGTCTCCAGGATCTGAAAGATTTCGTCGAGAAATGCCAGGAAGTTGCTGATGAAGCTACCTCTTACACCACTCGGAAGCAACAAGCCCGTCGCAAAGCAGAGCGTCCTGGAAGAGGACGGCCAAGCAAGTCGGCTGTTGCTGAGGCAGACGAGAAAGATCGCGAATATCGCAATGTGGAGAACATACAAAAGCTTCTCAATCAGGCAAAAGATCTAGGGTTCGATAGCCCGGAAATAACTACGCTCCGAGAACGTGCTGAGAGCATTGTCGAATTCCAGACCAGAGCGCGCACCGCTTTACGCGAGCGCACCTCCGAGCAGAGTATCGCACGGCTCGACGAGCTTTTGGAAGAAGGCAAGGGTTTCAACGTCGATCTACCTGAGCTTGAATCCCTCGAAAAGGTGGTTCAGCAGTTGAAGTGGCTTCAAGAGGCACAAGACTTCAAGGTAAAGCCCGCGCCGACGCTCCAAGAAGTTGGCGAACTCATCAAGAACGGCATTGAAGTCGGCATGCCAGAGCATCATCCTGACCTTCGCTTCTTGCAAGAGAAGAAAGATCAAGGTGAGTTCTGGGAGAAGAAGGCGAAGGAGCTCATGGAAGTGGAGAACGTGCATTATCAGCAACTCGATGCCTTCTCCAAGCAAGCGACCAATCTGCCGGTAACACCAGAGACCCGAGCCGCGATGGATGCCATATTGAAGAAACAACGAGATGCACAAGAGCTGATCATGTCTCTGTACGAGCGAAGCAAGAACCAGGACTTCTCTCAACGGCCAAAATACATGGAGGTCCGCAACGCCATGGAGTCTTTGAATGCGCTGAACGGAAAGCCCAATGGCACGAACGACCTTGAGAAGGAGCAGAAGCGACATGAAGATTGGATGAGGCGAGGAAAGAAGCTCTTTGGCAAAGCCAATGCGCCCTTGCATATCCTACACGCGCACATGAAACAAGTCGATGAGCGTAATCGATCCTGCTTCGATTTGGGAGACCAGCCTCGAATGCCCGTAGAGCCCGCGTCCCGTGAACAGAGCCCGGCTGATGGAGAAGAGGAGGACGGTCCCTTGTCCAGTCGAGACGTTTTCTGTATCTGTCGGAAACCTGAAGCTGGTATGATGATCGAGTGTGAATTGTGTCACGAATGGTAAGATGACTTGTTCTGCATCAAGAATCTATGCACTAACAATGATAGGTATCACGGCAAGTGCCTGAAGATCGCTCGTGGAAAAGTCAAAGAGGACGACAAGTACACATGTCCCATCTGCGATTATCGTGTCAAGATTCCTCGCGATGCGACTCGCCCAAAACTTGAGGATCTCCAGCTTTGGCAGGACGAAGTCCCCGGTTTGCCATTCCAACCTGAGGAAGAGGAAACACTGGACTCGCTGATCGAGCACGGTACCAGGTTCCGGGAGTACGTCGCGCGATACATCAACCCATTGATGTCCAGCCCTGATGAACTTACTACCCAACGATTTTACCTACGGAAGCTTGAGGGTGCTGAGATTCTTCTCTCGAACGAGATCAACTTCTTCCGCCAGGAGTTGCACAAATGGGCACCGGTAGCCCCGACACCGCCGCCTATTCTGCAAGTGTCTCTGTCTACACGTAAGCCGCGGCCGACGAAGCAGCAGAAGCTCATGAGCCAGTTGGGCATTACCAATCCGGACGACCTCCCGCAGCACCTCAAAACCAAAACCCATCAATTCAAGCGCAAGGATGGAGAGAAGCCACCGAGCAACCCGTCGGGCGCCGCTGAACAGTCGCATACTCCACCCGGTGAGCCTCGTCAAGGTCAACCCGAGGGTGAAAGCAGCGAGTACTTCAACACTACCACCACGTCTACGTTCAACAACTCGCCCACATTTGCTACGAGTGCTCCACTGAATTTCAGCGGCTCTTCATCGATTGCGCCTCTAGACCCAGGTCTTTTTGAGAGTTCAGGGCCCGCAGCTCCAACTAGTCCCATGCAAGACCCCTTCAAGAGCTCAAATAGTGGACATGAGATGTTTGGCGAAGCGATGGAAATGGGTGGCGGTCAGGCAGAAGAGGCACTGGCTGTCACCGAAGGCAACAACTACATGGACTAGAAGTCTGACGGCTATACGCCACGGACGCCAGAATCATGGTGCATAATTTCTCAATAGCATCCTAGGGGCGTACGGCAAGGATCGTTGTACAATACGGTTCATCATTGTTTGAGTCGGGGTTCTACGACTGTTGTTTTTAGCATTGTCTTTTACTTCATCATGTCCGATGATGGACGTGCGGTAGTTGTGCCGCAACTACTGCAGCGTTCGTTATGCGTGTTATTTCAGCGCTGCTTACTGCATCAGAGGGGTGTTAGGGAGCACGACAGGGCTACTGGCCGACATACCCAGAACAGGCGTAGAGAGACTCGGGTACTAAATTCATGTTCGATAATGGACTCGTAATGCAATAATCTGACCATTGACAATTTGCTGATGTGTGATGTGATGATGGCTGTCCGTGGGTTGTGGGCATGATGATGCGGGGATCTCGGAGGTTTGCTTGAAATGCGCTACCGGGAGTGTCCGTGCACTCGACTTTTCTAAGCCGATGCTGGTCATCAACGACGGCGGACGACACATCGCAATGCTTCCAAGTAGAGGGCTGCGGCCGGCCCAGCTTGCGCCTTTGGCCTCACGACAGTCGACAGTCTTACGGACCAATGCTACAAGGAAGGTGCGCATCTGCGATTTCCACTGCCCGCTTCGTTCAATTCACACACCTGCGTTCTCGTGTCCAAGTCGCCCAGCACCTTCTCTATGACCATCCTTCTGCACAACAGCAAATCAGAGCCGACTTGTTGTAATTGCTAATTGTGGTAGTTTTCGTCCCTTCCCCGAACTGCGAACCTCACCGGCCCATCATGTCGAACGAGCCCGCTCCAGTCAGCGCTGTGGAAGTCTGGCGCGAACCGAACTCATAATGTCATGACGAGTGCGTCGACTGTTCGAAACGCCTCATGGTATGCTCCTTGGAGCTGGGGGAAGTCTAGCGGACCCGTCGATGCCAGCTCTCTCACACCGGCCGACCGCGTCCCCATCGCCGAATTCTCGCACCGTCCCGTCTCCGAGTTTGCGCAACAACACGCAGAGCCTGTCGTCACCACGTCTACGCCCGAGCTCGCTCCTGCAGCTATCGACAAGCCCGCCGTCGTGGATGGAGCAGTCGCGCCTGCCGAGGCGGTAGTAGACGGCGCGTCAACATTGACGGAACCCAAGACACTCGACACTCTCTTCGATGCTGAGCCAGTCAAGGACACTCTCCCCACAGCCGAGATTGATCCCACTCGTCTCATCCATCATTCTGGACAATTGCAGGAATTGGGTCTTGACTACGGCTGGGGTATGACGACTCTGTTCGAGAAGTGCATCGAAACCATCTACCTACAGTCAGGCATGGGCTGGGCTGGCTCCATCATTGCTGCCGGTGTCGTTGTCCGTTGCACGACCTTCGTGCTCCAGGCAGCGAGCTCAGACAAGATGGCAGTTATGTCTTCACTGGCACCCGTTACCAAGCCTATACAAGAGAAGATGGAGGCTGCCCTTGCTCGAGGTGACAAGCAACAGGCCGATCTATACAAGATGCAGCAGGCCGCAATCATGAAGCCCTACGTAGGAGGTATGCTTGCCACTGGAGGTTTCATGATCGCGCAAGCCTGGATTGGATTTGCCGCCTTCAGATTCCTAAGGGCTATGGCTGACCTGCCCGTCCCCGGCATGGCGCATGATGGCTTTCTGTGGTTCACCGATCTGAGCAACCGCGACCCTTACTTCATCTTACCGGCTGCAACTTCAGCCATCATGTATACTGTTTTCAAGGCAAGTCTATACTCTTGAACGATGCTCTCACCTTACTGACACACTGAATAGACCGGAGGTGAAACTGGTGTGCAGCCCGATACAGCCCAGGCAGTTACACGTCAAAAGATTTTCACTGGTTTATCCGTCTTCCTCGGTGTTGCCACCGCTTTCCAGGCCTCTGCTCTCCAACTCTACTTCCTGATGTCCGGTATTATGGGCGGTTTAACTGGTTGGTTGCTTCGCCAGAATGGTTTCAGAAAATTCATTGGTATTCGACCGCTACCCAGCAAAGAGAGCAACGAGCTTTACAGCAAAGTCGTCAAGGGAGAGGCGAAGTTGAGTCAAGTCAAGGGAGCCGATGGCAGGGCTCGTTACCAGCCACCCACCCGCAAAGCAGCCCCGATGAACCGTCGCCAGTTGTCTGGCATCAACATCAAATCCGGAGTTGCCCTACCTGCGCATCTCAAGACGGAGGTACCCAAGACGATCGACACGGAATATCCTGACCGGGACATGGATTTCGAGGAAGGTGCCAAGGGCAAACCAATCAGCGAGAAGCTGGACTACTACCGCAGAAACTACCGCCTTGCCTACATCTGGAGGCGGACGGGCAACGGCATGGATCGCTTTATGAGGTCTATGGGCTTTGGAGACAAGAAGATGTCACCCGAGGAGGCCAGGAGGAAGAAGAGGGCTGATGATTACGAGATTGAGAGGAGACGCAGGTTCCAAAATAGGCAATAGAGACGTGTCGGAGATGTGGACGGCCATGTATGATATACGCGTGTTGGACCTTGTGTTAGTAGTACGTGCATCTCCAAAAGGACTGGGAGTTGTTTGATACGCATAGCGAGAGATTTTGTATAAATACTAAGAGAAGCATATGCTCCTGATTCAACCTTGGACGTATGGGTGTTTACGGTGTTTGGATGCATCGAAAGCTCGTTTGCGATTCCAACTCTCGTTTGTAACCATGCTTGAAACGAAGATGGCTCGAATTTGATTCAATCGATTCCAAGATGAAAAGCAATGCCTCTGAACGCAATGCCATTGATTGCACTCGTATATACAGATACGTCTCCAGGCTCTCCACCTCCCCTTGCACTACCCATCTACTCCAGCGACGTGTACATATCCAACTCCTGGCCATTCCTCCTCCTCCGCTCCACAGGATCCGCTCGCATCTCCACACCTGGTCCCACGCGCCTGGAATCGGCTCCGGAGCGATGAGTCGGGAATATCTGGTATCACATAATGATTAGCATCCTTCCCAAATACAAAACATACCCAATCTCTCCTATCAATACTCTTCCATTGACATTGACATACCTTAGTACCACTCCACCCCAACCGATACGCCGCCTCATTCGCAACCAACTCGCCAAAACCCAACATGAGCCCGTTGACAAACGGCAAGAAGAGGTTTATCGCTGCGCCGCGGAGCAGTCCCCATATTGTGGGTGGCTTGTAGAGGATCAGGGGTGTGGAACTTGAGGATGCGGATTCGGGCGAGGAGGAGGTGAGCTCGTTGTTTGCGTCGTAGTTTTCGCTGTCGGAGGGGATGGTTATGCCGGATTCGGTGAGGTTGGTGGCGTCGGTCATGGTGGGTGGGGTGATTGGAGAGGGATTGGGTGGTGGGTGGTGGGAGGTAGGCTGGTGGTGGATGCTGGATGCTGGATGCTGGATGCTGGATGCTAGGTGCTGGATGGGTGCTAGAGCCCCACGCGGAGGTGATGCGGAGGACGGCGCGAGGTTGGCTTGATCGGGCGGGAGTATATTGACAGTCAGATACTGTCGATTGACGTGGTGAGTTGCCGACTACGCAAGGAAGAGTCCACTGACGCGCGTGGTTCGTAGTGCGCGAGGGTCCCGAGGTTGCTGCTCGAGGTGTTGATGAGGCTCACATTAATTCCGGCCTTGGCATTATCTCGGAACTTTGATGCACGTCGGAAGGTGCTGCATGTCAAGGTCTAAACGGCTTATTGGCAGACATATCTTTAGAGTCTAAGAGAATCACGTAGGTCTTATGACCAACTTATCTAGTTGTTGATTAACAAGGTAACTCGCATCGACTGTGTTTGTGATTCGCGGTGAATGTCGAGAGCGAGCAAGCGACGTCACCAGCTACCGCCTGCGGTAGGTACCTAAAAGCCCGCCCTGAGTTTACATAGACCCCACCGCAGTCAACCAACGCGTCCAAGCCACCAACCACGCCACTACCCTCATCTTCAACGGCAGCATTACTACGCTGTTATGTCTGAAGCTACCCCCGACCAAGACGCTCTCATTGCTCAGCTTGCTAGTCTGACTGGCCTCGATCCCGCAACAGTATGTTGATGGAAGCTCATCGAAGCTATCGGAGCTGTTCACTCACACAAAGAACAGGCAGAACGCTACTTGAACGCCTCCAACGGAGATCTCACCCTCGCTGCATCTCTCTTCTTCGACGAATCGGCCGAACAACAAGACGACGCTTCCGAACCAGACGTCGACATGGCTGGTGACGAGTCAAACACAGACGCTCCCAGTGTGCCCCAAGGAGCTGGTGGAGGGCGCACTCTCGGGGGCGCATATGTACCTTCCCCTGCGCCCGAAGCATCTCGATCATCGTCGCAGCCTGCTGCTGCTCGTGGACAGCCTGCCCAGAGGGGCGTAGCAGGTGCGCGGACGCTTAGGGACCTCCAGTCATCAGGTGGCGGACACGGACACGCCCATGATGACGACGATGACGACGAGAACCCTGATGATGAGAACCAGGACTTCTTCGCCGGTGGTGAAAAGTCAGGTCTTGCCGTTCAGAACCCAAACCAGTCAAATCCGCGCGATCAGATCAACAACATCCTGAAGCGCGCACGACAGTAAGCGGGCCAAGCATCGTTTGGGCCACTCCAGCTAACAAGCGCAGGAACGCTCCCCGACCAGGTGGTGACGAGGAGCAGCCCGCCAGTTCCTCTCATTTCCGTGGCGCAGGTACTACCCTGGGAGGCGATGATGCTCCCTCCCGAACCATTCCAGACCCCACGGCCAACATCCCCGCACCGCCCCCGCGCGCCCATCGCGAGCTTCACCTCTGGCGTGACGGCTTCTCAGTCGACGACGGCGACCTGTTCCGGTACGATGACCCGGCCAACGCACGTACACTGGAGATGATCAACACGGGCCACGCTCCATTGCATATTCTCAACGTAGAACACGGCCAGGAGGTGGATGTCGAAGTGCACGCGCACAAGGACGAGGACTACAAGAAGCCAAAGAAGAAGTACGTTCCCTTCTCGGGTAGCGGAAACCGTCTGGGCAGCCCCACCCCTGGTGCAAGCTCAGCGGCTGCTCCCATGGCACCGGCAGCTTCAAGTAGCACGGCAGCCTCGACTCCAGCGGCCTCTGCGCTACCTACCGTCGACGTCGACTCATCGGCTCCTACCCTCACGCTCCAGCTACGCCTTGGTGACGGTACACGGCTGACTTCGCGGTTCAACACTACACACACTATTGGCGACGTCTACGACTTTGTCGGCAGGGCTAGCCCGGCCAGTCAGGATCGCGAGTGGGCGCTCATGACCACGTTCCCCAGCAACGAGCTGACAGACAAGGCCCAAGTGCTGGGTGACATTCCAGAGTTCAAACGTGGTGGTGTAGTGGTGCAAAAGTGGAAGTGAGGACGCACTGTACGTGGATGCACTCGAGTCCGGATTGCCGTTTATAGTGCGGGTGCGGGCAGTGGAGGATGCAAACGTAGAAAGCGTGTGCTGATCATGACAATATCATCTGCAAAGGTGTTATGGCAAAATGCAGGATAGATTTGGGAACGGTAGCTGGATAGCATTCATGACAATATCGATGCTGCAGGGTGCACATAATTGCACAACCTGCCAAATGTGGTACCCGTTGTTATCTGGCATGGTGCATTGCACTGCATGAAGCTTGACGTGTGCGCGGCGCGTCGCACCGCAGTCGTGAGTTTAGCAGTAGCCTCACGATTGGCGGGACGTTTAGCATTGTGTTTGCACATCGTTAATTTGTCTGGACAGAAGGGCCGAAGAACGTTTCTCCAGTCTCCAACATTATCTTTCGATTCAGGTCGCTGCTGCAGGGTTCACTGTGGGACTGCATCGCCATGTCCGTTGGATCGGCTGAATAAGATGACGACCACAGAGTCGCTGCATTTCGCTTGGGTAATGACGCCTTCGCTCCTTCTCTTATCTCTAATTATACCGCCGAGCTGGCTGAGAATGTCGCCCGTCGAGTGCCAAATGTTATTTGCGTGCGCCCCCAGATAGCATCAGCAGTGGGGGGTGGCGTGCTGGGCAGGTTGGTTGGCATATCAGTCGTGGCTGCTAGCTGAGTCCTAGTGAATCCTTCCTGCGGATAGATGAGCAGCGGCCATGGTGCGACGGCTCTGCCGCTCGGAAGATTTTGCGAAACGCGCAAGCACCGACTTCCAGGACGACATGGCACCACTCAGACGCAACCTCTGCTCGTCGTTAGGCGATCAACAGTGTGCAACGCGTCAGCCCTCCCCCTGGAGTACCTTGCAGCACGGGGCGGGAGGCGGCGCGGGAGTTGGGGGTTAAGGCGTCTTGGTGCAAAACCGATAGGGATTCCCAGATCGACGAGGCTCTGGCCGCGTACTGCCGTTTGAGAGTGTTCGACGCTTCTTCTGCTCGTGCAATTTCGTACCCTGTCGAGTAGTCTTGTCCCGCGCTCTTGGTATCGTCATTTCCGTCTAATCATCGTCTGCGGTTTTTTCTCTTGAGGCTTGCATTCCTCGATCGATCCCGTTCGCTCTTGCTAGCATTCCACCGGCCCTTTCCCGAGTTCACGTGCGGCAGGAACGACCGACACAGATAGACGGATTGACCATCCTTCTTGCCCTCTTCACTGTAGTCGGCCCCGCCTTCCTTTCCTTTGCATCCAAGCTAGCATCGCTCGGCAGCGCCTTCACCAGAGCTTCGCCGCCATCTTTAACACCCACGGTCCTTACCACCTGCACCACTTCACCACACCTCCTCGCCATCAGTCGCTAGTCCTTCTTTCGCGCTACACCTCCGCAACCTCAAGCGATGCAGCTTTTACATTATCGGTAAATCCTACGACTACCCCAGTACACTAGGTACCATACCGGCATAAGGTTAGTGTGCACCACTAAACGATACGAATACGAACAACATCGACATCATGTTTGTCCGATCACCCCGCAGATTTGCGATAGTTTCCTTTATAGCATTGGTTTTCATCTTCGCCGTCCTACAGCAGAGTCCATGGGCGAACGAGAAGGTGTACGAGCGCATGCCGCTCTTCAACTCGGGGAACAGACCGCCGACACAGGAGCTCCTGAATGAAAGTCCAGGCGAGGCGCAGGCGCATCTCGAGGATGCGTGGCATAATGCCGTGCCCATTCCTGGCGCCATGCCCAGCCCCGTAGATGCGCAATCGCCAGCAGAGCCGGCAGAGGTTATGCTGCCGCCAATGGAGACCTCGCGCGAACCTGAGGTCGACGCGTCGAAGCCCACCAAGCCTTACCCGCCTTGGGTGACGGCACCGTCGAGGACAGGCTCTTTCATCCCTCCCTACCCAACACCATCCAACTGGAAGCAGTACATGGCGAAGATGCTGGACTGGCCGCGACCGAGCTGGAGTGGTCACTGGCCGCCGTTTGGCGACTACGTCGACAAGAAGTACGACCCGAACCGGTGGGAGCAATTCGATTTGTAAGTATACATACTTTGCGCGCGACAGTGGTGGTTCTAACCTTATGCAGGGATTATCGCATCTACGAGTCTAGCCATGATAAGCTGAACGACACGATTGCCTCTGATCCGATCGCATACAAGCCGTTCCCCAAGTACAATACCCCAAAGTGGAAGCAGAAGTGGCACGGTGAATACGTGGCTTGTCTGGGTCCGCGCGGCAAACCCCTCAACGAGAGCACCGACGACGAGGTCCAGGTCTACCGCGGCATACCCGAGGACTTTCCCCCGGTATACGCTGGTGGTTATGATGTCATCGGACTCGACGACGATGTCTGCTTCGACCGATACTCACGATACGGCCCGTACGGATATGGTGATGATGAGTTCCCAGAGGAGGTTAAGAACTGGAAGGCGCCCGCTACTGTCCCCGAGTGGCCTCAGGTGAACTGGGGTGCGCTGCAAGACGATTGTCTTGAGCGGAACAAGGGGCGCTACCGGCCCAAGGCCAGGTCGCCAATCGTCAAGATTCCCAGCACTGTCCTACCTGAGCCCGCGGCGGCGTCGTCGGCGTTTGCGATCCCCACAGACACGAGCCGAAGCAACTTGGAGAACCGCGATGACAGCGAGAAGAAGTACCACCACCGAACAGCCATTCTCATCCGTGCCTGGACCGGATACAACTACGAAGAGAACGACATCACCGCCATTCGCGCCATGGTCTCCGAGCTCTCCCTCCAGTCCGGCGGTGAATACCAAGTTTACCTCTACGTCCACGTCAAGGACAGAGATGCACCCATCTTCGACAGCCAGTATGAATACGATCGCATCCTAAAAGAAAACGTACCTGAGGAACTGCGCGACATTGCTATCCTATGGTCAGAATCCATCTTCCCGAAATGGTATCCCAAGGTT